TCAAGCTAATGGCGATGGCCTCCACCTACTGGCGATGGCCTCCACCTAATAGCCATGGCCTCCACTTGATAGCGATGGCCTCCACCTAATGGCGATGGCCCATGGCCTCCAACCTTATATTGAATTTCTTCATGCTTTCAGGCCAACACTTGGAATGCACATGTTGAACCCATGCCCTTGGAGCGTTCGAGTCTGGCAATACACATGTTTGGTTACACATCAAACACGTCTCAGCTGAATCAGTTGCCACGGTGCTGGTAGTACAAAGGTCTGATGGCCTGAGATTGGAGACCGTATGCTTAGCCTTGCCCAACACCATTGGCTATCAACCGCCACTCATAGGGGCCATGGTCTGTAGAAAACCTGTCTTGTGTCTAGTGGGTGGCATTCGGTCAAGAACCTCAGCATCATCCTTTCTTAAGAGTCTTACATTGTTGGCGGAAGTGGCTAAGAAACCACATGGAACTTCTAAAAAAGACATTGGCAACCATCTTGCAAATGAGGAAGGGGAGCTTTCTCTGAAAAGTGCAGAAGTTCCTTCCTTGGAGTTTGGATGGAAGGAAGTGGCAAGGATGGACACGTCTGAGGCCCAGGCCGTCTTCGAAAAAGGACTGAAAGCAAGATTGCTTCAAGGCCTTTCCTACTCAGGTAACTCCACGATGCAAATATCAACTGTTTGCAGTTCTGTTTGCATCTGACAACTGCGTCTAAGTTGTGACATGCTCGTTGTCATGACGTTCAAGGAGGCCTAAGCAATATTGCCTTGATGAAGTGAAGCCGCGGAAAAGTACAAACTGCAGTAGGTCAATCGTGATGAAATTGGTGCACAATTCTTAGCCGTTGCAAATAAACACTGAGCGCTGTACACCCTCAAAACATCATGCAGGAGTGTGGCTCGCAAACTCCCAACTTTGATTTTGCTTGTAAAAACATCTAGACCCTTCACATTAAGCTTTGGATAACCTTTCAACGCTAAATCGAATGGCTCGGTAGGCAACGTGATCACCAGGTTGATGCTTGTTGACTCTAATCACTCCGATACAGTACATGAAGTCACTGTCTACGGCTATGCAAGGTGGAACGAGCAAACAATGAAAACATATGAAAACAATAGCCACCGGACCGTGGCTTCTGGGGCCGAATCGTCAAGTATGAAGGGGTGCATTTGCGTGGGGACTCAGTTTCTTGATCCAAATAGTCTAAATTCACAAATCTGCAAGGGATAAAATGTTTCTTTAAAGAGAGTGACGCTCTGGAGCTAAGCACGGTAAAGCAGTTTGGGGGTCCTGCACTTGGCGCGCGGTTGTTGCAAACAATTGTGCAAGGTGCCAGTGAAGAACTGTGCAGTACAAACTGCTCAAAATAAAACAAAAACATATGCTATATCATATGCGCATACATACAGCACACACAATATTTGTCTTCTTCCTCGCTGAACATTGAAAGGTTTTGGCCGCCAAATGTGCTATACTTATATATATATACGCCATTATACGCCTGCATAGTCTGTCGTTCTTGCCTCGTAGCACTCTGCGTATGGTGGAGTGGGTCTACCAAACCAAGTGATGATCCAATCTACTTCAGGTAAGCCATATGCCCCAGAACAAATTTGCAAATTGCGTCTTTTACCATCCTTTACAACTTTACATCTAAATAGAAATTCAGTTGGAATTGCCTGTGGTGGGGCAGGCACCCGGTCTATCACTAGCGCACTGAGATCTTGCCCCATCCCCTGGTCGTTGAACTACATCGGTGAGGCAAGCCCACACCGAGTGAAACTGAAACCCTACGACCAAGGCTGATGGCCTAGGGCTAAAACATTGCAGTTGCTCAAGTTCCTGTCGACATGTTGAACATGAACTGAATGTATTGCACTTGCACATGAAAACAAACAAACTCTAAACACATGCCAATCTTGAAAGGGATGCTCCTGCTTTTGCACCTGCAGCTAAAAAAACTTGAACCCCAAAGAGATGCGACAAAACGTTAAAGACATTGTTACGTGTGTTGCCTTTTTCTTGAATTGCATGTTCTGCCATCCTCCGCAGGATTTCACGATGGATACCCGGCAGTTTCACCCTCACCCAGCCAGGCCTCGGGCACGCATGGCATACTCAGGGTGGACTTATGGTGATTCTTTATGGGTGAATTCGGTGAAACAAGTACAACTTGTCCACATGTTAAAAAAGCAACTGTTTTTGGTCAACAGTCTTGAAAACATGATCATCGGATCAACCGGTTGCCGAACATTTTATAGCTTTTCATGTTGAACAGTCCAGAATTCAGCAAGAGTGTTCTCTGATCTTCTCCATCAGGGTGTGCCCCGTGTCCTGGGCCACCTGGCAGCCCACTGTTCAGAGACCCCAAGTGCCACCTCTTTGCCGGCTGAGGACTTGTATTTGAACCTGCGCGCCGATCATTGGAAACTCGATTCGGTGGTGATGGTTGTGATTCTGGGTATCCTCCTTCTACATATATTTGTCTACTCCTGAAAAGGACGTGTCAATATGTGTCCATAATTTCACGTTCAAGTAGCCTCTTGAGCCAGCTGCTCCTAACGAAATGTGCATCCAATGAAATGTGCAAAAAAAGCATCACATGCAGTGTCCCACACTGACAAAAATACGTGATTTGCAAGATGGCTGCCAGCAGCCAGCACCAAGACGTCCATATCATAAGCTCATGAGCCTAATGATTGTAACATCATAAAATGCAATAACTATGCATAAATATGCTAGCCGTGTCAAAATGCTCTCTAATCGATCCCCGACCTCTTTCCTTCCGCCCATATGTCCAAAGTCCACTTGTCATTTTCAATGGACCTGGTGAAAGATGCGAAAAGCGCTTGAAGCTGCAAGAGCGAACAATCTAAACATGTCCAAATACATGACCTTCATGGTAACAGGATGTTTGTATGTGTATATATATATATTAATATATATATATATTATATTGTACTTCGCACACACACACACAATACACAGACATACAGCAAAGGGAACTTCCAGACTCTCAAAGGAATTGCACCAGTGTTGAGCGCTTTAAAAATTAATGTCTTGATCTGCATCTCCAGGTCGAGGACCAAGACTTCATGGTCCCACTGACATCCTCAGGTGTTTGACGTGCCATGTAGGAACAGCTCACCGGCATCCTTTGCAGCAGTATTTGCTGAATCTTGGGACGAGCCTACGAATGTGTCGTGGGATACTAGACCACCTGGAAGCCTCCAACCTCACAGAGCCCACAGATCGAAAACTCTCGGTCAAGTCGAAAAGGCGGTTTTCAATATCCTGGGGCAGTTTCCAAATAGAGAAGTCGGCGAGGAGATGCAGCTCCCATCTACCAATCATCTACCTCCACTAGCTTCATCCTGCAGTTCTACTCATTCAAGCAGTGAGGGACAACTTCAGACCGTAGACCAGCAGGTTTACGACAAATAACTCAAGCGCGAAACTCACAAACACTGCTATTCAATACTGCTTTGAACAACATGACCCATCACAAAAGGCCAAGGACTCTTCAACTGCCCATCAGGTGCATGCCAGACGCTTACCGTACAAAGACCCCCTTTGCAGCAAAGTCACCACCTCGAAGGCATCTGCCACTGTGACCTGTCCAAGTCTTTCGACTGTGAAAAGGTCCCTGCTAAGCCAGTCACTTTGGGTCAGTCACCTGACCTCCTTTCACGTTTTCTTGCTTGGTGGGCAACTGGCGTGTCCGCTTGACAGCCTCAAAAGACTTCAACCATTTCACATTCTGCCCATCTATGGTCTATGCCCATATCCAAATATTTAAACCACAAAATGATCAAACATAGCTAGCTGGAATCCTTTGGCAATTTCCAACCTCCCCGCCACACCTTCGTGGTTTTGGCCGCATCCAAGACAGCAGCACGGAAGTCCCGGAGGGCTGGAGCTCCTTCGCTGTACCTTGAGAGGTTGGAAGCTGTGGAGGAAGTGCGTCTTGTGGTTGTAGGAATCCTTTTTTTCTCAGCTCGCGGTCCAGTCTCAGCGAATGCGGCACCTGAGTGGGGTTGCACTCTGAAGCGTCAAAGTGGTTGGCTTGAATGCCACCAACTTGCTAAGCCCCGGCACCCCAACGTCCTGCCTCTAGGCTTCGATTCAGTTTGGGGCCTCGGTCTGAACTGCAAACAAGCTCGTTAGGTTTGAGGCCATCGCTCTTAGGTTGGAGGCCATTGCTAATAAAGACAAAGAAACAAGAAAAGGAAAAAAAACTCGAAGGAACTCTCAAGTTCTTGGAGGTGCCACCTCGCCCAGAAAGCACATCAGGCCCAAGCACTTGCGTTTGTGAAGGTGCGGCTGACACCGCCTTGGCGATCAGGAAGCCAGCATGTGAGAAAATGAACACATCCAACAAGAGTTCCTTCAAAACCCTTGTCCACTCATCTACAAAGAATTCTACATCCACATGTCCTGATTTCAAAATCAAGGGCTCATTGCTTAACGCAGCAGTCATACATATTTCATTTTAGGCTAGGTGTGTCATTCATGTGAGAAGTCGGAGCGATGACAATAGGAAAATCGGTCTACACTCGCCTAGAGTCTAGTCTAGCTGAGTCTAGCTCATATTCAAACAACGTCTGTTAGCTTTCTTTCAAATTTGATGGAAACATCATGGCTGCAAAACGCTCCAGTAGTATCGCTCCAGTTATGTCAAAGACACACAAAAAGGGATTGGGCAGCCGCAGGATATCAAGAACGGCTAGCTCTGAAGATGTGGTCATCCAAGTGGAGGCGCCCAACTATTCAATATTGACCTGCCATACTCCAAGAATGCTATGACAATCTGCGTAACACAAGGGGATGGGTTCCTCATGGCTCTGAACGAAAAGCTCTCAAAGCCTTAAAGCGGTTGGGGTCCCAACTGAAGTGCATGTTGCACCTGGCCTCTGGGTCACCTGCAGCATGCAAAGTCACCAGATGTGTGCAGGGTTCTTCGCCAGCGGTGAACTCTTCCGACCCAAGACGCTTTATCCAGCTTCTATCAACCACTGGTCCGACGGCCTTTTGGATTGGCCTTTGGGATTTCTAGAAAAACACTCTTTTTTGCATTAAATTAACAAACAACAGATTACTGAAGATGAAGCAGAAGAAGAAGAAGAAGAAGACGCATGAGAAGCAGAACCAAAAGAGGAAGCAGAAGAAAGGAGCAAAACAATGAGAAGCACATTGGAGCACTGAACGTACTGAAGAGACTACTCTCGATTTCCGTAGCAAGAACCTGCCATGCCGGTCTACCCAAACCAAAAAGGGCACATGGCGAGCAATCTGGCACCCACTCACCTGAGCAGACTGAGAGCCCAAGGGGCGTGCCTGGCAAGGGCCACCGAGCAAACGGGAAAACTATGGCACGTGGGACTTCCAAGCCTGTGCACCAAAACCTTGGATTTTACAGACTATGCAAGCTGTTGCGCAAGGTAGAGATAGCGAGACAGCGAAACTGAAATAGAGACGATATTAAATTAGGGTGAAGCAAGAGGAAACAATGTACCTCTGTATAATATATATATATATATACACAGTACTTGAGTACTTGTATACTGTATACTTGTTGAGCTCTGGTTTGTCCAGAATCCTGACAGCTGACAGCATCGCTGTGTTTCATCCTGACGAATAGCTTGGATAGCTCTGTTGGTATTTCAACATATGTCAACCTGTTTCGAACCTGGATGCTTTCGGTTCCAAGTTCCAAGTTCCAAGACAGTTGTTCTAAGAGTGGTCACTGATTTAGTTAATTACATTGCTTTTAGTACTTCCACAAATGCTTATGTACACAATGTTTGTATTTTTATGTATTTTACGCTCCAAAAAATAAAAATAAAAATATACATATATATATCTACAACGCTGAACAAGAGCTGCCCTTCAACTTTGACGGGACCTTTAAACAAGGTTCGCCTGGGCACGTGGTACATCCGCTATGGCCAGTGGCGATGCCTGTCGGACACAACTCTGTTTGGCAGGAGTCAACTTGCGCCATTCGGGACCCGTGTTGCTAGTCGACCACCCAACAAAAGTGCAATGATCGAAGGACTTTGTTCACAATCAAGACTACCTGCTGAGTTGGAATCATGGTATCAATAGGAACATCTTACTCAACACACAGATTGAACATCTACTTAGTGCCAAGTCTAACTTCCTTCATCCCTGAGAGTGTGAAGGCACGAGACCTTCTACAGTATATAATTCCGATGAAAACTATCGTCACTGGGCTTTCACATTCTGTTCCCCCATCACTGAGGGAGATCCCCGGCGCGGTCAAAGACCGCTTGCCAAACCATGTTGTGAATCCAATCTGCTACCCGGGCGGATATATCTTCTCAGTCTCAACATGTGACCAGCCTGGTGCTCCTGTGCCACGAGCTGCCGCCGGTCGTTCTTCGAACGACACCTGGGGCAAGTCGGCGGAGGAAATCTTTGATAGTGGATCAATCTCCTTGAGTTCCAACCAAGAATACCTTATTCATATGAATTCGATATGCAAGACCAAGAGCGTTGAATTCCCTCATTGATGAGTCGCAGGACTTTGGCCATCCATGGTGTTCGGTAGGTACCGCTGCACTAAGTCTTGAACAGCCGGAGGCTGCGTAGGATTGCCTGTGGCGGCGTCGGCAAGATGTAAGTGCCCCTTGCAAAATCTTGATGACGCTTCAGGCGCGTGTATGAAATGATGTCTAACTGCCCTCTTGTGCCGATTGTGGCATGCATTTTACCTTATATTGTTGTCACTTTATATCATTTGATGTCATTTGGATCTCAGGTCTTTTTTGGTCCTTTGGCTTTACCCCAATGCGGCAGTTCGGCGCCTGCTCCATCTTGGCATAGACGGCTTTGCTGGTGATGTCAGTCCCATGATTCAATTCCAATCCTGCCAACCGCACATTCATGGAACACAACCAAATATAAAATTACTTCTTTGAATAATGTGAGCAACTACTGACAAAGGCTATCACATGATATCACTACATAGACATGTCTGCTTTCAATAAGTCCGACAAAGCCAAGCTCTCCAACAGACAGTGCATGGCAGGGCAAATGTGCCTTCCAAGGACACATGCACTCCACCTTGGCCAAGTTGGATTATAGCCATTTAAAGGGGGAGTCACACAATCACAACAAAACACAATCCAGATTTATTCGCGAAGGAGAATCTACTCCACAAAAATCATTCCTCAATGCCAAAATCTCTTTGGGGCTCAAACATGCAGCCTGTTCCTCGTGCATCTCCCGGATGCTGGGCGCAAAGTCTTCTGGCCTTGCAATACGACGACAGAATTACTCCCGGGGTTCTGGAAAAATGGCGTCCTGTCAGGCCGGGCTCCACACAGTGAATCAGCACCCACCACGTGGTCCTTCCAACAGCAAAGCGTTGGAGAAAGCGGTCGAATGGCCTCATGGATCATTTAACATTATTTAAGAAAGTCTTGGGAGAAAAAGAGGTAAATGGGACAAAGATGGACAATGTGCTTCTCTACTCTGCCATCAATGGGATGTGATTGATGAGACTGTTCCTTCCTTCAGAGCAGCCTCCTCTTTCAAACACTTTGGTGTATTGATGAGGTATATACAAAATGAAATAGCCGACGCATTCTATGATAGCCATGGCCAGTGGATCACAAGGAGACTCAACCGGTTCATGTGTCAATGTGTCATGTGCCCCTTCCAAAGTCCTGCAATGATGCACGGTGCAGGACCACCACTGCAACAGCATCTTCAATCTGCACACACCTAGAACCACCCATGGAAATGCGTGCAAACGCATCTTCGCATGGTGTGGCAAAATCCCAGACAGGCCGATTTGCACTGAGTGATGAGCCCAGCAAAAGCCCGGACACCCGTTGTGTAAAAGCAATCCTGGCCTGTGGTTCATCAGCTTAGCGTGAGCCTGTGCCAGCCGCACCAGGCCTCGGTCTCTCCACTTGGGTGAATGCTTATGCAGCAGGTCAGGGCTGCATGGAAGCAAGTGACCGAAGCTTCCCCAACTCGTGTGTAACGTGTGGGCTCTGCGTATGGCAGAGTTGAAAGTTTGCCTTGAGTTATGTCGAGACCACGCGTTGCCTGGCTGAATCGCCTGATTTGCTCGGTCGGATCGCTTGTGCTGTGAATCCTTGTTGTGCAATGAGTAGACCTGTTGCGCCCAACGCACTGTCAGAAATGAGGTCCTGGCTCTCCAATGTCCGGGCTGTCACTCCTCCGCTACCACCGGTTGATAAGGAAGTGTTGCGTAGCTTCTGGAAATACCTGGCAGAATCATCAAGTTGCAAAGATAAATAAAGAAACAAGTAGAAACTCTATTTTTGGCCAGACTTGAGTTGATCTACAAGTGACTGCAAGCCGAGAACAGCGCACGTTTGCAGCAATGTGGCAGATCCCGCTTCGTCATCCTGCAAGGTCTGTGGGACTGCACTTTTACATACTTTTGCATTATATTTCCTATCACCGATAAACCTGGGGCCCACTTGGGGTGAAAACGAAAGCTAGCTACCGCAAGCAAGCAAGCAAGCAAGCAAGCAAGGCAAGCAAGGCAAAGCAAGGCAAGCAGCCAAGTAAGCAAGCAAAGCAATCCAAGCAAGCAAAGCAAAGCAAAGCAAAACAAACCAAAGCAAAGCAAAGCAAGCAAAGCCAAGCCAAGCCAAGCCAGCAAGCAAGCAAGTGGAGAGGCCCGAAACAAGGAAATATATCCAATAATTCGAAGCCCAACTACTCCCTAATATATATATATATACACCCTTCCAAACAATGGACTTGTGCAAAATCAGAAAATATGAAAACTGAGACAATAGGCTTATCTGAGGTAAATGAACACGCTATAACCAACTTTCTGGAAGTATGGAACGGCGCAGCAAAGGCCACAATGGCGCACAGGCGCATTTGTCTAGAAACCTCGAGAATCGACATTGGGTGAAAAG